GTGTGTGTGTGTGTGTGTGTGTGTGTGTGTGTGTGTGTGTGTGTGAGACAAATACATGATGTGTGCACTCACACTCACTCTTCCTTGAACCACTGCGTGCTGCCAGGCTGGTGGTGCTCCCAGATTGGCTGTTATCTTCCACACTGGGCTCATAGGCGGGGTTAACCAGGCCGGGCTCATCTGATAGGAGAGCGATAGCAGAGGAGGGGCATCCCTCCCCGGGCAGTGCCGCCAAAGTGAGCTCTGAGGTGCTGTCTGTGCAGTCTCCCTCCTGAGAACGCCGCTTTCTCTCTGCAGAGAGCCCATAGTGTGACGCTCCTTTACACCTGTGAGAACACACACACACACCGACAACTAGGTCAGCAAGATACATTACCATACAATGAATGTGCCATCATCTACTGTATGTGCCAATTAGGAAAGCAAAGTCACGTAGAGGAGACTGAATAATTACATTGTTGCAAGAGGGTGTATTTGAACTTGTACTTGATCTTTGTGAGTCTGCGTTCTGGTGCAGCTGATATATTATGCTGCACTGTCGCGGAGCAGACCAACAAACAAATACGTTTCGCCCCAGGAAGCATGGGAAACAAACACAAAGACTAGAATATAAAATGCCTCACCTTTGAAATGAGATTCGTTACCTTACAAAACTAATCATGCGCTAAAGCTATCTCTTTATGTCCTTACTCTACTCACAGGCAGACGCTAGTGTACATTACATATTTACGCATCCAGGCTATTCAAGAACATTCCTCAAATGTCAGTATGTTCACACACAGACACACTGACAAACCAATAAACCATCAGCCCGTGAGTAGACGCACAAGTAAACCCTCATAAAAGGTCACAGGTTTTCCTCCATTCTGAATCCCTGAGCTTTACTGCCCTATCTGGTGATAAGCAATTTGCCCGTACACACTGAATGAAAATGTAGAAGCTGCTGTGCAATGTGATCCAATCACATCCAGACATAAGATAGTTGATGTTTTTAATTTTGGACCAATGAGGTTTCAGCGTGGGTGGGGCTACCCAGAGGTAGATAGGTACTTTAAAGAGATAAACTGACAGACCGATAGATAGACCGATAGATAGACCGATAGATAGACCGATAGATAGACCGATAGATAGATAGATAGATAGATAGATAGATAGATAGATAGATAGATAGATAGATAGATAGATAGATAGATAGATAGCACCATTATGGTGGCTGCTGGAGTAGAGCTCTCTCTCTAAGGGCCGGCTGTGAAGAGATAAATCAATGGGTGGACACATACAGGGAAAAAGATGTGTACAGCACCAGGAGAGATGCCATGCCTTGGGGACCTGGTTTAAAATAAAGCATTTTGTCCCAGTATTCATGCCTGTCTTCACCCTCATAGACGCCATAAGAGAGAGAAAGCGAGAAAAGGTATGTGTGGCAGAGAGCTTGACACTGGCCGTATATCTCACTTACTGCTGACCACTGATTGGTCAGCAGTAAGTGCCTCAGGTGTGCAAACTTAATAACGAGCCTAAAAGAACAACAGCTGCTTTCAATCAGGTTCTGTTACAGTGCTGATGAAAGATCTCAAATCCTGCCTCACACTCGTCGATTGACAGCGTTTCAAGATAAAATTGCAGCTTAGGAGTTTTCTGTGATGACAACTACCACTCTTATATAACCTAACCCTGATACTTACATGCATGTATACAGACAGACAGACAGAGTAATTTACAGCTAAATGGTAAGAACTGTATAGTAAATGAAAGGCACTCTTGGCCTTTTCTGTGGCCATCAAAAGCAATTAGTGTGATTACCTGAGAGGGAAAACTTCATATCCTTATATTATGTAACACAGGGGTACCATGGAGACCAACCAGTGGTCAGCTGAGTTGGGACAGGGTTTGTTCAGTTCAGCATCTTTCCCCCTAGGTTTGAGTCTGTCAGTCTAAAATGCTTACATCATTCATAAAGTTGCGAGGAAGAGTCTCCTAAGTGAGTTGCATAGCTAATAAAGCCAAGTTTTACTCTTCTATTAGAGGAGAGAGAGGAAAAGTACATGGCAGGTTCATGAAGGGTCATTGATTTTTGTTTGTTTTGTTCTGCACCATACAAATACTTGTCTGGTGAAGGCTCCAAAAAGAACAAAAGCAAAACAAAACAACAAATGTTTACTGGAGAAGTAAAATGGCTTAAGCTTAAGTCTTGTTTTCTGAAAAATTATCAAAGTTAAAGTTACTTTCTTCTTTCAGACTAATCCAGTCGGAGTTATATTAAAAATTGTCCCTGCTCTTCCAAGCTTTATAATGGCAATGGGCAGGTGTTTCTGTTCAACAGTCCAAAAGAAATGCAATAAAGCACATCCATACATAATAAAACGTGCCTCACATGGCTCCAGGGGGTGTATAAAGGCATCCTGTAGCGAATCGACTATATAATATATCCATATTAAAATGTTATAAACCCTTTTCTCTAACTTCCGCTAAATATCATACGTGCTCCTGTAAACAAAAGTTAAATACATACATTTTTCTTACAAAAACGCACCGATTCACTACAGAAGGCCTTTATTCACCAAAACCCCCCCACCCCAGAGCCGTGTAAGGCACTTTTTTATATGGATGGATGCGCTTTATTGGACTTCTTTTGGACTGTTGAACGAAAACACCCACCCACTGCCATTATAAAGCTTGGATGAGCCAGGGCATTTTTAAAATATAACTCTGATTGGATTCGTCTGAAAGAAGAAAGTCATGTACACCTAGGATGCCTTGAAGGGGAGTAAATTATGGGCTAATTTTCATTTTTGGGTGAACTAACCCTTTAAAGTAAGTTTTTGCTAAAAAAATTAAAAGAAATACTTAAGCATTTAATGGAACAAGACAAATCCTCACCAAACAGTCCTCAGGAAGCTCTGAACACTAGTAAATTATCTGTGTTAATATAATAATATTACTTAATATTTAGGGTGGCCATATGTGCCATTCATACGGGACACATCCTGGCCAGGATTTTTATATTGCCTAAAACATCCAAAGTAGTTTGACCAATAACATGCAGGTATTGTATATAATCGACCAATCGTGGCGCGTGAGAAGGTGAGATCTACAGAGAACGATCAAAGCGATGCAAATAAGCGCACGTGTTTGTTCGTTCATTCCACTTGAAGCGTCGCTGCACACCGATCATTGAATGACACCAAAATACTTCAAGAGCGATTCGAAAGCATAAGGAGCCATCTAATCTGCTCTCGTGAATGTCATACAGCGATCGATCTGCACAGTGCAAACAGCCAAAACCTGGATATTTTAGGCAATATAGAAATCCTGGCAAGTACGCGTCCCGTAAAAATGGCCCGTATGGTCACCCAATTAATATTGCACAGTGATATGCAATGTGTATATGTGTGCAGAGAGAAAGAGATGCGACACAATGGTCTTGTCTGTTCCTTTGTTAATGGGCTTAGACAGATGTTAATTAAAACAGGCTTTCCTGCTAGAGATCCAGTCTGTGGTCTGAAGTCATAAGCCGCGTCTTTGTCCTGACAGACTCACACATAAGCCATGCAGCCACAATAACAGCAATCCAGAGGTTATTGTTTAATCCAACCATCCCGTTATATGAATGATGGCATGTGTCAGTCACCTTGCACCCAATTTCCTCTTTCATTTTTATTCTCACACACATCTACAGCCATATGGACAGGCAGCATGACACAGAGCAACAGAGAGAGAGAGAGAGAGAGAGAGAGAGATTAACAACTCTCATGCACTTTTCCATCTCTCTCTCCCCATGTTCCAAACGGTTCATTCGTTCACTTCCCTCTATCTCTCAATCTTCCCTGGACCCCGACCCCCAACTTCCTCTTCTCATGCATCCTTTTCCCTTCACTGTCATCCATCCTGCAATCTTTCAGTTCTTAAAGAGACAGTACATCCAAAAATTATCATTATTTTTTGTCATTATTTACTCATCCTCATGTTTTTCCAAACCTGAATGCTGTTATTATGCATATAATTGAATGAATGAATGAATGAATGAGCGAGCGTACGAAAGAATGAACACCTCATAATAAGTAACATTGTATTTATTTATTTAGTTTACTAGATTTTAGATTCACTAGTTTAGTTAGTTTTAGTTCTTAATTTAGGGGGGGGGGGGGTTCAAAGAAGCAGTCGACAGATACATATTTTGATTGCGATTGAGATGTAGGCCACAGCCCGGAGAGACCTCATAATGAACTGACAAAACGAGGGAGAATTATGTGCTCCTCTCCTCTTGATAATAATGAAATTAATCTCCAGAATATTCCGCTGGCTCCTTACAGCTCGGACGCACTAAATCCAGTACACTAAATCTTTGACTACAGATATCAGAATACACAATGGTCTGAATCTAAGTCATCAAAACCAGATCAACGCTTCAATCCTCTTTTGAGTGAATGTGGATTATCTTGAACCTAACCGAATAACACAGCCCTAAGACTGGGATGTACTAGTCTTAGACACACATACAAACATATTTCCATCAGAGCGAGATGCCAGACTCAATTTCTGAAACTAACCTAAAAAGACCTCCACACATAAACACACATTTAGTGTCTGTGTGAGAATACATCATGTGTCAGTCATATTTTCAGACTAGTATTGTTGCAGGACTGATTGTTTTTGACTGATTCTCATGATGAAGGTTAGATTTTTGTTATCCCTCACATAAACACACAGTAACATTTATGTAGTATATACTCTTGACTACATATATTATATTGTATATTTAATCAATTATATTTTTTTGTATTTTTGTCACATTTTTCTAGTATGTTTATTGGCATATTTTAAACTGAAGAAGCATATTAATTTCTGATTATATTTTAAATATATTTTTTTCATGCAGTGTAAACTACATGCATTCCTTTTGTATGTGCATGATTATCCTTTTTATTATATTTTTCCACCATTGTCTAGTAGGAACTGTCATGATTCAGATTCATACAATTTAAGACATTTTCAACTGATGAAACATAGACATTTTCTTTAGTTATACTTTCCTTATTTATTATTTAGATATACAGAAATAGATACATAATATAAAAGGACTGGGCTGTTCTTAGAGTGGCTGAGAGCCATTAAAACCTACAAAAATACTAGTACACTTTGAACTACTATTAATAATGTGAATGCAAAGTTAATACTTATTAATCGTATTTTTCAATCTATACTGTATATGACACCCTGGATGCATTTCAAAAGCATGCCACATCAGATACTCTAATACATTCCTCCTCTGCATTCATACTCAAGTGTATTCATCTTAAGGGAAGCAGAGGTATCATGAAAATGT